ATTTATCGCGTTAGCGTGAAGGTACGTGATCTCGTTCAAGAAATTTCAATTTTCGGGCGGCAATGTTTATTTTGCATTATAAGAGTGTATTTTAGCGTTTAACATTCGTTTAAAATGTTGTATTGTTAGCTTATTCGAAACCTAGACTCCAATAGTTATTATAATTATGCATTTTACTGTAGATAGGCCTTATTGGGTTGTTTGATCCTTTTTGTATAATAATAGGCTTAGTTCCAGTTAAGGGTTTTAATGTAACTTTTAACATTGATGATTTCTGTTTATTCATTCGAATTGCATCTTATGTTTATTGCAGACGTTATTTAGTTTCGAAAGTAAAATGTAACACGAAACATATTGTTGCCAGTTTTAAATTTAATAGTAAATTAATTTGTCAAGTTTCCTGCATATTAGTGAAAGAATTGCGGTAGAAGTTACTTTTAGATAATTGTGTACTTATAGACGTACACACAAATTACCTAAAAGTTTCTTCTACTAAGATTACTTATAATTGATGATACACATCAACATTTGTTTGCATTATTTATATATGTGTGTTTGTGTACACACTTAAATTATCTAAAGGTAACTTTTAACTTCTTCCAAGATTTTTTATAATTGATACATATTAACCTTGGTTTTCATTATATTTGTGCGGGTTTACACGTATACAAATTATCTAAAAGTTACTTCTACTAAGATTATTTATAATTGATAAGTATTAACATTTATTTACATTATTTATATGTCTGTGTGTTTGTGTACACATACTCAAATTACCTAAATGTAACTTTTAACTTCTACCAAGATTATTTACAATTGATACATATCAACATTTGTTTATGTATTTTAACATGAATTCCTATTTAGATAATGCTAATTATTATAAAATCACTTTACTGGGAAGAAATTTCTCGAAAGTAAATAAATGTAAAATTATAATTAAAAAATATTGTATAAAAATTTTCTTGTTTTTTTTTTACTTATTTTATATTTGTCAGTCTTAATTTTATTAAACTACTGTAATTTGTGAATGTAGACTAAAATATGACATCGTTGTTATGTTAGTGTTTTCTTCAATCTAGTTTGTAATTAGGTTATTTGAAGTACAGTAGTTTTTTTATAATTAGTTATGTGTGAGTTAATTATTTACTTCTATAATAACTTTAAATAGATTAATAGTTACATAGTAAATTATATTAAATCTTATATAAATTGTTAAATATTGAACAATTTATCTAATCTCAAGAAAAAAACTAAAATAAATCTGGCTTTTAGAAATTTATTAAAAGAATCATTAAGAAGAAATGTTAGTTTTAAGTAATTTAAATGATTATAAAATAAAAATTTGAAAAAATAAATATTTACCAAATAGGAAAAAATACAGTAATTTTTATCATATTCAATTATGTTTAATAACAAAAAAAATTGGGAACAATAAAGCCTTGTAACAAAAACAGCATTGGAGTTTAGAAGATGCCAGTTTTTCAAATTTTCTGTTAAGTTTTATAAAACAATTACATAATAACAAATACTTTCAATAATAAACTTTAAAGTAAAATAAAGAATTTTGAACATTCCTTTGAATGATGAGCCAATTTCAGAAGTAAAGTTAACAAACTAAGCTTAGATTACCTTCTGACTATCAAATTATCGTCATTAGATTGATTTACAGGTAACCCCCGTATAACACGGATCCACTCTGACAAGGTTCGAGAAATGGGTAAAACCCTCATACAACATGAAATGTAATAAATTTTTACATACTTAAGTACTAATAGTTCACGAAAATAATAATTTTCGTGAACTATTAGTACTTCAGTGTGTAAATTTTCTTTTCTCTTCTCCATACGCATGGTCCTTCGCGAAAATTGTTTCAATTTTGCCATATCTCGACGCTTCTGCTTCTGTGTTGCCAGATGTTTTTCCTTTATTCCATAAGTGCTTAGCACCATATAAGGAAATTTATAAAGATCTTTTAACTAGAGGCAAGCAGTCTAAAATTTCATAGACTTTTTGCAAAAGGTAAAGCATGAATATGAAAATAATGCAGAAAAATGCTCAGAGGATAACGATAACTTGCAAAAAATAAAACACACTCAGTTAATAGTGCTTTTAGTGATGACAAAGAAAACATTGTTTAATTTATACAGTAGAACCTCGAAAACTCGGCCTAATGTGGACCAAAGGGTGGCTGAGTTTGTGAAAATGCCGGGTTATCGGGAATGGGGATAAAAAAGGATAAGTATGCATGTTTCCTCAGAAAATACTGTACTGTACTTGTATGTATTGTTTGCTTGAGAATACAACAGAGAATAAACTGCCCAAATACCCTTAAACAAAGGAAAAGTACGTCCTTTATGAAGGCATAGAGCCTTTACTACATGAAAATGAAAATTAATGAATACACTGTGTACAGTAATTTGACTGATAAGACAGACCTCAGAAAAATACTTTATGAGAGCTTTTATACTTTTATAAAGCTGTCTATAATGATAATTAATTAACTAAGGATTTTTTTGCCCTGCCAGGGTGTGGCCGAGTTATCCAGAGTGCCGGGTTATCGAGAGCCGAGTTTTCGAGGTTCTACTGTATNTGAGATTACTGTAGTTTATAGAGCAACTCAAAGTTTTTCAGCTTGGTAACACTGACATTCCTAGCATTCATTATGATAAAATGGCAATACTAGCATAAAAGTCAATGTATGTGCTTTGGTTATAGGAAACAAAAGAATCCAGTGGTTTATGAGTAGATTTATGCATAAATTCAATAAGGAACCTCCAACAAAACAATCATTGAAACAATGGCTATAGCAATTTCAGACAACAGAAATGGTACTTCACCAAACAGGGGCAGGTAGCCCAAAAACTTTGAATGTCAAGATCTTTTAGCATTCAGGTATTGCTTCAGCAAAGTCCTTGAACATCTGTCATGCAAGTCTGTAACTGCAGATTCCAAGCTCCATGGATCTTGGAATCTGCACAGATCTTTCATGGTCTGTAAGGCAGAAATTATATGCATATAAACTGCAGATTGTTCAGAAGCTCCTGTCAGTTGACAAGTCAAAGCAAATGGCATTCACTTTCACCATGCAGTCCACCATAGAAAAGGACAACTACTTCAGGGATAAGTTGGTCTGCAGTGACAAAGTCACTATTTACTTATTGGAAAAGTAACACAATTGCCATATTTGGAGTTTGGAGAACTTGCATGCCTTCCACGAACACTACTAAGATAGCCCAAAGTTAATGCCAGGTCTATACTGACTGCCAACAGGGTTATTAGCCTCTTTTTCTTTGCCAAAAACACTCAACTAGTTTTAACTATGTAGACATGCTTCAATTGTTTCATGTTTTGCAACTGAAAGAAATGCAACTGGATGCTGTCTTTCATCAGGACGTGACACTTCTATGCTGATCAATGGATGTCTGGAGTTATTTCAATGAGACTTCCCCAATCAATAGGTATGTCAAGGTCCGATTGCCCTTCTTACTCATCAGATCTAATGCCTCTGGATTCGTTCCTTGCAGGGCTGTGGAGTCGTGTAAAAATCTACTGACTCCAACTTTTCCTTACCATCTGACTCCTACTTCGACCAGGGGCGGACTTGTTACCGAAAGAGACCCGGAAATTCTGACGTCATCACGTGACCTCAGAATAGAAGATTCAATAAATAGAGTTCTAATAAAAAGATAGAGCGTAGAAACTTTTTATTCCAAAGCTAAAAGACTCCTCTAAGTGATATATAAATATGTATTCAATAATATTTACTTTTCCAGCTGTTATATATAACAGAGGGAAAGTGTAGCGCTGGGTCAAAAAATGACCCCTCCCAAATTTTTACATTTTTGGATTCAGAACACCTTGAAACTTTGAGATATGCAAAAGATTCAAGGTTTTTTTCTATATGTTGGATGTTAAACTGTGTGGGGGGGCATGATTTTGTTCACCATGTTTGAAGCCTAATAATTTCTGTGGTCAGAATCAGAGTCAGATGGTTTAACACAAGAGTAGGTTATTAATTTTAAGTGTCAAAGTGGTTGAACTAAATCGTCTCCATACACATTCTAACATCTTAGGTGAGAACATCTTAACAAGTTTTACTGTACTATTATAAAATGACAATAAAAGCTTACTTTGAGGACAAGTTTTATTTTATTTTTTTAAATTTTGAACACTAATAACGAGTAAAATAATCATTAAGAGATATGACACATGACCCCTTTTATGTCTTCACCCTGCCGACCTTTAATTAAGAATCAAAATTTAATAGTATTAATGCCCCTTTATACTCAAGCTACAGCGCCACATTTTGTTTCTTAAACTTTACCCATTCTGAGATATGGTTTAATATCTCAGAACAGAAAATAAAGAAATTAAACAAATTAGACGCCAACACACATGTGCACGAATTTTTCCCCTATATTGACTTTTTTCAGGGATTCAGGAGGTCTACAAATGTGTAGATTTGCAAAAAAAAAAAAAAAAAAAAAATTGGAGGGTCAAATTTGACACAATTCCAATACTTTTCTGTTTTATATACATAACAAGTTTGTAAGTAAAAAGGAGTCAGAGTCGATGGATTTTTTGACGACTCCCAACTCCAGCTAAAACACCAAAACTCCACGACTCTGACTCCACAGCCCTGGTTCCTAGAGGTATACCAAGAATAAGGCATATGTAAAGATGTTCAATATGGAGGAACTAAAGGCATGGATTATGCAAATCCTGTTGATCATTATAGTTAACATGATTCAAAACACGTGGAGAGTTCAAGTACAGATTAGATGTTTGTGCCATCAATGGTGTCCATGTTCAGGTATACTAAATCTAATGTGAAAATAAAAACTTTTTGAGTTGCCCTATAAGCAACAGTAATCAGTTTCTTTTTATCTCTATTGGTTTATTTTTATGAATTTTTGTGAATAATTCTCAGACACTTTACTTACTGAAAAATTTTTTTTACACACACATTTTATTCTATATTCTTTATTGACATTTACCTCTGCTTGTCTGTAATCCTGAACAGCTGCTAATCTTTCTGCAAATTTTGTAAGTCCTGAGCGTAAAGAATGGTGAAGATTTTCTCCTACGGCATAATTTAATACCTTATTTGCAAGTGAATCTCCACAATCTCTTAACTGTCCCATTTTTCTTGAATAAGAAGCAAATTCATGGCATAATTCTGAAATATTTTTTTCTACATATTTAACTCGCTGTAGTATGAAATCCACTTGGTGATCACTAAAAATTTTAGATAAAATTAAAATTTTAGTTAAATAATTCATAAAAAAATCATGTCTACTTATAAAAATAATCATAATAATAACATATTTGAAATTCAATTCTCTCATCTATTTATTCACTCAATCACTTTATAATTGTTGTAAAATCACACTATAAACCTATTGTCCGGTGTTGGTAATATGTACTGTACATTGCATGAATGTTTTCATGCTCCTTTTGTGTTCTGCCTCAAGTGAATCTTGTTGTTTCATTGATAAAACACAATCATTGAAAAATCAAAATTCAAATGTCCATTAAAATTCAAACCAATTTAAAAAAACGAAATACATTGGAGTGTCTGCTTTAAGAGTAGGAAAAACAGAATAAAATGTCATGCATCAGTATGAGCATGCACAAGATGTCCTACAACTAACAAACTAAAGCTCAAGTTCTTAAAAGGGCCTGCCAACCTGCAGATGGAAACAATTCCTTGTGATTGATATATATGCTGTTTATACTGTTGCTTTAAAAATTTCTAAGGCTTCTAAATATCTAAGCCCTAAATATTCTAAATGCTAATATATGATAGCAGCCTTGTGTATTAGCTACTTTTGCAGTTAATACACACTGAATAATATGGCTAAAACTTGACAAAGAGTCAAGATTTTACAGTATTATAAAATATGGTGTAACCATTTAATTTAACTGAATGTTTCAAATTTGTCATTTCAGCTGTTAAAATTTATTGACTTAAAATATCTAATTGACTTTTTTGTGGTTTTTTGTGGATATTTACAAAGGAAAAAATAACATTTCAAACAATTATTCTTTCAATACTGTAAAAAAATATAATTGCATACGAAACATGGAGATATTATAAAATCTTTATTTTAAATTAATATACAAGTTTTTTAAACATTTTTTTGAAAACTAGTTTTTGTGGCCAATTACGTTTGAGGGCGTTCTCGAAACTATAACTGATCTATTAATAAATAACATATGCTATCGTTAAGTCACACAAAAAACTAGATTATACAATACTTCAGAATTTTAATGCAATGGAATTTTGTGAAATTGTGAAGAATTCTTCTTTGCAATGGCCGAGTTTAAAGCTAGTGTATTTTACACTATAATTATGAATACTTTTGGCTTTTCTTTACGTCACTAATAACTACTTTCCTGGGATGCAATCCCATTTGGAAAATACTTTGGTGTTTGCGTCATTATTTGCTTAATGGAAAACAATTAAACAATGCTAATATAAACGAGACATTTATAATAATTTTTCAATTATTATTATTATTATTAATATTTTCATTCAATAATAATTCTAATTTTAACTTTCTCTACCTCTATACACCTCGTGCGTTAAACGTCCTTCAATTTACATTAATTCTCATAAATTGTTTTTTTTAAATTTGCAAAATGAAATATTCGCGAATATTTGCTGATTAAAATACAATCCTCATTAATTAAACTTCATATATATATTTATTCTGTAATAGTAAATCAAGTATTATTAACAAAATATAATACAATGCAAAGTGCTAAGATTATCGCAGATTTATGCAAATATTTTAGTAGTTCTAGTGATAAATCAAACACTTCAGGAAGTTTTAAAAACCATATTTACATCCATTATGTCTACTAAAGAGCAAATTAAAGAATTTCGCTTGGCAAGAAGTGAGGGTTTTTTACAAATTAAAATGTATCTTGCATTGTAATTAACGTGTTTAGAACATTTTAAATTATTTTCTAAATATAAACTAATTAGAATTTTATGATTAACCATAAAATTTCTTATTTTTTTTTTCTGTTTAATTTCAGATTGCTCTTTTAATCCACGTTGCGTCGTATGCGGTTCTCAATACTGGACATCCTATTACGGGAATTTTGGATGTAAAAAATGTATAAGATTCTTTCTGAGATGCGTAATCCTGAGGAAAACTTATAAATGCAAATACAGCTCAGGAAATTGTAGAAATGTTTACTTCTCTGCGATAACTTGTAAATTCTGTTACCTGGAACGTATGTACAGTTACGGGTTCCGGCCTACAAGATTTGGTAGGCACGACAACAGTTGGTACATGAAGGAAAAAATATCTTCGTTGCATCCAGTTCCGGTGATCGAATATGCAATGTTAAGCTTTTTATCTGATTTACGAGTAATTTAAATATAATTTTTTTGCGTGAAAATGTCAGATGGCATTTGGTAAGAATGTTGAAAGCAATTACCCGAAGACAATCAAATTTAACGTTTTTTTTTATCTATTTAAAACTTTCTTCACGTGTTTTTTAAATTGTTATTTTAATTAAATTTATTAGTAAC